GAAGAGCTGTGTAACAAGGGGAGGTGAATGGGACACCAATCCAAACACCAACTTAGAGGAGGTGGTAAAATGGCATCCCCCTCCTCCCCTCCCCACAGTCTGTCACAGCAGGTAAAGCCCTGCACCACCCAGCCACAGGAGCTTGGCAGACACAGCCCTCTGCCTAACGTTATTTCATAGGGACAAACGGGGCCACCAGGGGCAGTCTCCAGGGACCCTGGCACCGCAAAGGTGCTACACCCAGTATGTGGCAAGCCCATGCCCCAGCTGCAGCAGCCCAAGCCCACATGGCTACAGCAAGAGCCACAGCAACAGCAGCTACTGCAACACTGCAGACATGGGACATAAAACTTCTCCCCTCCACCCCCACTCTCCATCGGTCGGCATAATTCCCCATGTTTGCCCAGGGCACTGAAGGAGCTCACTATGCCTCTGGCCCAGGTTATTATAGCAGTAGCTCTCAATCTTGCTAAACTCAGGGCATGCCTCAGATAAATACCAGCTCTTTTTTTTCCCCACTCATTTTCTGGCTACGGAAACAATAAGGCAATTCTTCCATTGCAAAGAATGAAGATCAGAAAGACCACAACAGACCAGAATGCTTTTGATAATATGGATTCCTATTTGAAACATTTGGGTTTATCTTGTGAATCCTGTGTAGGTGTTTTCCACACACCCTTAAAAAGATCTCCAGTGCCCTGGTTAAGAAACACTGGTCTATAGCCTGATGGTTAAGGTACTGTCCTGGAAGGGGGTGGGGGGCTGTAAGTTAAAACAACCTTCAGCAGAGGGAGGTGGAAGATGTGGGGTTTAAATCCCATCTCACAGAGGAAGCAATGTAAACCAGCTCTTGCATATCCCTCATTGAGCACTGCAACCAATGAGATGTGACACTGCAACAAGCAGGGTAGTTTTAAACTGTAGCTCTTATTTTTTCTAGTTAAAATTATTCTAGGAATTTGACCCAAATTCACAAGTAGCTTCAGAATGAGCTAAACTACATTTTTTGATAAATTTATAAATTTATCAAAAATTTATACATGTATAAAAATAAATAAGTCTTCCTGGTTTATCCTTAACCTATAACAAAGATAAACAAAATTACCTCTGATTACTCTGAAGTCATTACTGATCTAGAAGCAGTATTAATAGCACTCAAACCCCAGCATATGACTTATCTCATAAAAATATTATTCATCTGTATTTCTGTTCAGTACTACTGTATATTCACAGCCCTGTCTCTAGCATCATGCTTTGTTCACTGCAGATTATATTCAATCATTTATTGTTGAATACAAATTCCTTGTAGGCTTTCTGATTAGGAAAAGGTGAATGATATGTAAATAGGATACGCATCATTGCAAAGATGAGGAAAACTTAGGAGCAAAGTATAGGTCCTTCCTACACCTATGAACTCACTGAAAATTAATGGGTAACATTTGCAGCAAAGACTGAATATACTGATTGAAGACAGACAGTTAAGAAGGTCCATAAGTAATACATATTCTAGCTTAAATATATTACAAAGTTCTCTAGAAGGCAAAGGCAAAGGCTGTTAGAGAAATAAATGAAAATTACTGTGCAACAGAACAGGCCAGAATGTTTCGTAATTATAGATTCATTCAGTGTAAGAAAAGTTTTTACTATCTGCAGGCATTAAACTAACATTGGAAGGACTGACTGGGACTAGGATTTTCTTTGTCCTGTTAGGCTAAAAATGTTTTATAAAGGACAAGCCTATTTCTCTGTGACAGCAGAGGCAAGCTATTATTTGCAAAGTAATAAACTCCTTAGGGTAAGAAACAGAGAGCACTCTTTCAGAACCCCTGAAGGTACCACAGCTTAATTGTTCCTTACTTGGTTACAACCATGAAAAAATGGTCTTTTATTTCCCCCTCTCTATCACAATTATTGATTCTGTAATTTATGGGCTAACCCCTGCAAGAAACGGAAACAACTGAAGTCAGTGGAACTACTATTCCTGCAGTTACGACAGAATAATTGCATGCACAAATACAGAAATAATTGTCCAGGCTTCAGTACTGCAGAGAGAGGGGTATAGAGGACTTAAGGGTTATAGCAGACCATGAGTTGAACATGTGTCAACAGATGCTATTGCTGCAAAATAGCCGACAGCCTTCTGGGTTGCATTAATAGGAGTCTCGCTTGCAAATAAAAGGGAACAATTCTACCTCTCTGTTCTGCCCTAGTAAGGCCTCGCCTGGATTAGTGTGTTCAGATTGCAAGAAAGATGTGCACAGATCGGAAAGGGTGCAGTAGAAGGGTGAAACAACAAAAATTATTAAAGGTCTGGGAAACACAACTTGTGAGTAGGCGTCTACTCAACTTGAGGAGGCAGCTGGCCAATTTTGTAGACAGATCCCAGGGCCAGCTGCCATTTTTGAGGTCTTGTCATGGCTCAGGCCCCCCTACACCTATTGGCCAAGGGCTCCTGGTGTCCCCACCCCCTGTCACTGGGCTTCACGTGTGGTCAGGACGACTGCTGGCTCCTACTGGGGAGCCAGCATTTTATTTTTAGTAAGTTTTTTTTTCCGGCGGATTTCATGGAGATCACCTGATTTTGTGATATCTGCGCTATTGCAATTTAGGTAGGTCCCTACTTATGAAGAAAGGCTGAAAAGGAGGTTATTTAGTCTGAAAAAGAGAAAACTCAGAGGAGATCTGATAACAACCTTCAAATACCTGAAGGGCATTTATAAAAAGAATGAAAAACGACTATTCGCTTTGGTCATACTGGACAGTATTAGAAGCAATGGCCTCAAACTTCAGAAGTGGAAGTTTAGGATGGAGATTAGGAGGAACTTTCTGATTCTGAGGGTGGTCAAGTATTGGAACAGGCTGCTTAGGAAACTTGGAATCTCCATCCCTGGTTTTTTCAAGAACAGGTTGGACAGGCAATTGATCGGGATGGTTTAGTCAGGGATGATCCTGCCTTGAGTAGCGGGCTGGACTAGATAAATAGGCTGGAAGAAGCCTCATGAGGTTATTTTCCTATGATTCTATTCACATGCCTAGAGGCAAGTACATAGGTTAAGTACTTTGTTTAGTGGACTCCAGCACATTAAGGGTTCAGTTCTTAAAATCAAAGTATTAATTTCTCTTTAGTTCAATGGACATGTTCAAGCTTGTGATGTTTTAATTCATGAAATAACCATGTGTTGGTTATAGTCTTGATCTGAGTAACAGCAAAATCAGCCTTACTGAGGGTAAAGGCAGTAAAGCTGTTTGAATATTTCCAAACATCACTGTCTACATGTGTGGTGTTATTAGGCCACAGTAAACTAATTAACTCTACCACAGGATAGTACTGCCTGACACACACTATTCTGCGGCGGAGTTTAGGGTGTTGCAATGCACATGTAGACCGTGACTCGGGCTGGCTAGGACACAGGGGTGCTACAGTGTGGGACTGCCTACCAGCTAGTCCCACACTGTAGTACCCTCATGCTCCAGCCAGCCCATCTGTAGCATGTTGAGCCTGGGCACAGCAACTCTGGGCTGGCAGACTGACCCCCTGGCCCTCCTACCAACCATGACTTCACCACCCCAGCTCAAGATGCTGTGGTCCCGGAAGCATGTGTAAACACTGTGCCTGGGAGCAATAAACTCTGGTGCAAACTATGCAAGAGTTTATTCAAAAGCATTAATATCACATGTAGATGCACCCACTAGGATTTAAAGGTGTGAAGTCAAATCAAGGTCACTTCAGCTCAATCTAACCAACATCTTCTAAGCTCCTGTTTACCTCAGAAGAGATGTATGATTTTACAAAAGGAGCACACAGAATCCAAGCACAGATGGGGCAAGCTGTCATTTGTCTTGGATGCAGCTTATTGAGGTGAATAAAGCTATCCAATATCCCAGTAAAATAAACATTAGACTAATTCTTTATCTTCATTTACCCTGAGTATAACTATTCTCAGGTGTGAAGCTACATCACTAATACCTCTCCCTCCTATCCATGACTCCTTCCACAGCCAGAACCATGGTTTCACTCCAGTTACTATTCCCACTAGGACTTGGGTCCTCCTCTACAACATAATAATTTTAATATAGAATCAGTACAAGGTTTGATGTGGTGTCCTTACCGCAGATGTGAGGCGAGCAAGGATTTCAGCTTCTGTTTCTGCAGCATCTTCTATTTTTTGATCAGGCCTTAAAAATAAAAATAAAAATTATACTTATTTTATAGTTTTGTTTGATGTGTTTTGGTTTTGGAAAGCAAAGAGGCAAATGGTCACAGACAGCGAGATAAAAAGGGCTTTTGAGTTTCTGTATCAAAAGGAAGATCATAACTTACAAAACTGACAATAATTAACTAGGTCAGCATAATCAGACTATACCCTTTATCCCCTGCTGTCAAATTCTCTTCATAAAATCACAAAAACACATACCAAGAAGCATTCTTCAAATAACTGAAAAGAAAATGTGATAAAAACACGAGCTTTATGCCAACCCTAAAGAAGTGCAAGACTTTTAATGTCAAAGCTGCATATTAAAATGTGTATTTTTTTATCTGTTAAAAATGTATTCTTAATGTTGGCATATATGGGGTATTCCATCTGACAACCAATATGCTTTGTGCACCTTTATAAAAAAGACAGCTTCTCATTTTTACTATTCTCAGACAAAAAAGAAGATTCCAGTAACCGTTAAGACACATGCAATCTTGTCACATGCAAGCATAAAAGTCAAGCCAGTGAACAAAATTTTGTATCGATAGCGTTTGGGTTGCAATGATTTAATGCTTAGAAGTAGCTACATGTAGTAACATGAATGCTAACAAAAGGCTGGACAGTGCTAGGCTCTGCGTAGCAATACAAAGCTGAAGAAGGTACGAAGGACCTTCCCTGAGGACAGTCACAGTCCAGAGTCCTGAGATGAAGGATTAGAAAGGACAGTCTCATGACTCGGGGACAGCAGTTAAAAACAGGGTGATGTGGATATCATGATTTTGCATATCAGGATTTCATTCCTTTCTCGATTCTCTTCCTGGTCACTCTCCATACATGTGTTCACCATTTTCTCAATTCTTCAGTCCTCCATCTCACTTGGCATAAATACTAACTCTATTTTCAGCCTGCACTACTGAAATTCTTTTTTGCCTTCCCACATTTTTGAAAGCAAACCCAATGATGTTTGAGTCAAACTTTTGAATCTGTGACAGTTAAACTGGTTTGTATTTAGACAAAAACATTTGCTCATCCATAGCCAATCTATACTTGTTATGACACCGTTTACACTACTGTACTCTTGAATAGCTTCTGGTATACGATAGAACACGGTTGCTAGGTCACATTTCTGAGAACAAAAAACCCAAATTGCACTCACTTTACTTAAAAACAGAAAAGCTGCTAAACAAAAAATAAGATTTGGCCAGTACATACAAAAAGGTACCTATGCCACAGATCAATTATTTTTTCACTAAACTGCATTTTCTTTTAGGCAGAAGGGCAACCATATGCCAGCTAAGGGGCCACATAATCAGACTGTTCTTTTAAACTACATAAGATTTCTAAATGAAATACTTATTGAGCCTCCTGGAACCCTTATTGGTAATTTAAAAGCGACTGATAGTTTTATTCACACAGGGGAAAAACCCTTAACATATTTATTTTCCATTCTTTGAAAGAAATGCAGTGTGCCAGTGGACTGAGCAGTTACATACAACTGCAGCTGTTGCAATAATCATAGATCACAGGTAAAATAGAAGCTTCTGGATTACGGTAAATTATTTAATTGCTCTTATACTTTGACGTGTTCAAAGAAGCGACAGACAGCATGTCTGGCATATGCAGCTGCTATATTGTGGCTGATATATGCAGTCAGAATATTTTTTTCCATAATTAAAAAATGAAGGTAATTCTATGCTTTTTTACAAATGCGTTAATTTTAAAGCAGGCACATTAAACTAAAATGTTAATCTACATTGTGTATCAATTTTGAAAAGCAGCCACTCACAGCTGCCATTCCTAGTCCTAGTTTAACATTTGCTGCAAGTGTTACTGACAGCCAAAAACGAATGAACAAATTGCAAATAAGGCATACATTAAATGTGATATTTTAAAATATAATTCTGAATCAGAATAAAATACCCAGCACTTGTAGTCCCTTAAATATTTGATCTAAAGTATTTATCCAGGAGATCCTCCTAGAAATGATGCCATGATATGGCAGTCTCAACCAGCAGATATGACCACAGTTTATAATTTACAGAACTGAACAGGAATGAGTTCCAGATATTTCCACTTTTAGTCCATCTTCTATTTAAAGCAATACCCTCCATGTATGCTCTGTTCACAAATGTTTGAAGAACATATGTTAAATTATTAATACTAACAGCTACATTCAATAAAAGCTTTTCTGAGAATCCATACTAAAAAAGACTAAATTAGGCGAAAAGAACAACCAACCTGGAAAAAAAAGATTACTCCAAATATTGTTTACTACAAACAGGCATTATTTCCCATCAGCTGACAAAACGTAACTCGTTCTGAGTAGAACACAGCAGGCATTAGAGAGAGTATAACACTTTGGTGAAAGGGATAACAAGAAAATGTGATCAGAAGGAAAGACTAGTGTAACCAGATTAAGAGTTGCTAAAAGATTTTTCTTCTTTATCAGTAAATTAATTAAAATAATCTAAGGCTCTCAATGTATTCTTCAAACCTCCATTAATTTGGTCTTCCAAAGCCACTATGAATTTGGTAAATCTTGTTATTCCAATTTACAGTGAAGGAAGTAAAAGCACAGACAATAAAAGGATTGGAGACAGGAGGACTTTTTGGCGCTTTATCTAATAGCTAGTCAGCAAAAAAGACATTGGGAAACCTGGGTTCAACTAATTTAGGCTTGTCCATCATATGGCCTGCAGGCCGCCATGTGGCCCGCCAAGCCATTTTATCTGGCTGCGGAGCGCAGAGCCGCGGAGGTGTGGAATGTCGAACTGTGGTGGCGGCACAGAACATGGAGCGTGGCGGCCACGGCGTGCGGAGCCACAGCGTGGAGCGCGGAGCCGCCGCCACAGCATAGAGCATGGCAGCCGCGGCACGGAGCTCGTAGCATGGTGTCGCCTCCGTGGCGCAGAGCACGGCGGCCGCAGTGCAGAGCACAGAGCCGCAGACGCGGCACAGAGCACTGAGCCACGGTGAGGCACGCAGGGCCGGCCCGCGGGCCCCAGCCGGCAGTGAGGGGAAAGGAGCTGCTTAACCCCACGGGGCCCAGGGGAGACCCACGCGCGGGAGGCCAAGCAGTGGCTGCTGGCACTGCCAGCCCACACCTGCCTCCTCACCCGCCCGCTTATAGTTTCATAGTCAGTAGGGTTGGAAGAGACCCGAGGAGATCATCTAGTCCGACCCCCTGCCGTGGCAGGAAAGAGTACTGGAGTCAAATGACCCCAGCCAGATGTTCGTCCAGCCTTTTTTTAAAGACCGCCAGAGTAGGAGCCAGCACCACTTCTTTTGGAAGATGGTTCCAGGTCCTTGCCGCCCTGACAGTGAAATAGTGCCTCCTAATGTCTAGCCTGAAACTACCCTCCACTAGCTTGTGTCCATTGTTTCTTGTAACTCTGGGGAGTGCTCGAGGGAACAGGGACTCCCCCAATGCCTGCTGGTCCCCCTTGACTAGTTTGTAGACTGCCACTAG